ACTGGCCGGTTAGCTGCTAACCGAAAACCGAAATGACAGCCCTAGTTATAGATGCCCCAAATTCACTACGGTACTGCATAATTTTTTCTATATATGTATAGTTGCATAATTTTTTTCTATAGATATATAGTTGCTCCATATTCTTTATTTCACTCAAAATCGAGTTCGGTTATGTTGAATGCCCTTTATCAATATGAACTGACACCATTTGATTAATTTGAGCATTATCCACATTAATAGTATTCGCTCAATTATAAGGTTGCATTAAATGAAATATAATTAAAAATATAATCCACATAAAAAAAAAGATTATCCTCTTTTGATTTATTTATTATAAAGTCACTTAAGCCCTCATATATGCAATTGCATATATGTAGGTGCAATGAAAGAAAGTTGAATTGGATTGCATTAAATTTGATATGACAATAAAAACATCATATGTTAATTATGCAAATTTTGAAATTTCATTGATGTGGACACTTTTATAGAGCATTGTTTTAGTTGTGAAATTCGACCCAAATGACATTGCTTGTAAGAAAAAATTTCATGGTTGTAATGGTTGAGACTGTGTATATTAGATACCGAAGAAAGAAAAATTAGGGTTACCTATCTAAGTGAACAAAAAATTAAATCGCTCTATATAAGACGTTCAAAGTAGTGCTTCGTCTTGTACAGATCAAGATATCAGTCGAAGCCTTTAGGATTATAAACAAGCACTCTCACTTTCTTTGGTTCGTGCAAAACTAAACCATAGAGCTCTGAAGAACACCCTCGTATGTGTTTCTGCTCTCTCAAATCGTTTGTCTACAGGGTATGAGAGATCTACTATTTAAAGGAGCATAAATCTCCAAGTTTTCCTCTTTCACGAGGAATCAAATAATTAAGACAATATCTCCAAAAATTATATAGTTTCAAGCTGACCAACCTCACCAACTCGTTGGACCGGATGAACAATTAGGGATGGCAATGGGTCGGGTCGGGGACGGATAGTGCATATCCGTTACCCTATTCAAAGTAGTTCGGGTTTTACCCATACCTATACCCACATGTAAAACGGGTAAAAAATTAAAACCATGTCCATACCCGTTCGGGTTTCGGGTATCCACGGTTATCCATGGATAATGATTTCTCTTCATAACTCGAACCAATATGTAAACATTCACACGTATTCTCCCATTACGTAAGAGGAAAAGTATGACAATAATTCACTAGAATGAAAAAAATTAATTGAAACAACACAATTTCATGAAAATATTATATATATGCTAAATATAAAATATGTTAGAGAAAAATAATGATTATTTCTAGATAAAATAAATATGTATGTGTATAATCGGGCGGGTTCGGGTTGGATAGTGAGAAACCCATGCCCACCCATTACCCGCAATATTCGGGTTCGGGTTTTACCCGTACCCACTAAATGTCCTTCGGGTTCGAGTTTTACCCTATCCGATTAGGCCGGGTTCGGACGGATATCCACAGTTACGGATATCTTTGCCATCCTATGAACAATACACATGTGTAATATAAAATACACAATAACTCACTTATATGTTAAAAACTTACAATCCCCATACGATTTTCCAATATTTTTAAAAATTATTCGTGTGCTCCAAATAATTGGATGATATCAGCTGATCTCGCTTTATTTGCATGTTACACATTGGAGAAAAGAGGATTTATTTTGTATGGAAAAGGTAAAAAAAGATAAGGAATGAAAAGGGTTAAAGAAAGCCTGTAACACCTTTTCCTACTTTTTTTTTTTTAACTATCCGTTGCGTTCCCCGTAACGAACTTTTTAACCGCCCAAATAATTATATTCCAATAATTTCTAAGCACTAATATACTACTTTCTACCTGGGCACTTGAAGTTGCATATATCTATGTTGACAAACCAAGCAGAACTGGAAGATGACAATAACACCAAAAGATATGATTTATTAAGTGAAAAACAGAGAAAGTGAAAGGCAAGGAAAACCCAAAGGATTAATTTTAGTTTCATTTCAAGTATGTATCTATTTTTCATATTATTGTTTATTGGTTCAAGAATTTCACAGATCCATTATACCTGATATTAATTATTATACCATCCGATATAGATTCGAGTATAAACATTTTGATCAATTTTTCTAATATGATATTAAAAACTAATTGATACAAATAGCTTAGCATTTTTTCCACGATTTGTTAGACGAAGGATTTAAACTATAGTTCCAGCAACAATGCCAAAGACATTGAATCACTTTTGACAAGTTGAATCCAGTAAAGAGATCTGCTAGGTAGGATTAATTATTTGATACGCAAACCACCCAACAACGGTTATTTATTTGTGAGGAAGAATATTGTAGATTACGGCTTTTGATCGTTCACACTTCAGGGGGAAAAGAATGTTCATCGTAATTCTTTTCTTTCTCTCTTCTTGTTTGAATAAGTTGACAGAATAATTGCTGACGGCAGGCTGGCCCCCCGGCGAAGGTGGACTGATGGTCCAATATTTATGGACCCGCCGGGGAGTGGTTTATCGTATCGCCAAGGAGACGGAGACGGAGACGGGGCAGGGCCGCAAGGATGATGGTGGCGCGTTATACACACGTACGCCCACATGGCAGCGATGAAGGATGAGAAGCGACAGTTATATGCATAATTAAGGATGGCAATTAAACACGTTTCATACATGTGCGGGTACGTATTGTTAGACAATGTTATAAGATTCAGCATAACCTTCTTCCAACAATTTTGAGTTATTGGGACCAACTGGTTCATGACATGGTATCAGAGTTGGTTTGGCCAATTGGTCGTGTGTTCGAATCTCCACGATCCCCAATATTTAACAGTTGATTAAAGCACAAGGTATGATGATCTAATGTGCAAACTTCAAGCCCATGGGTTGGCTTTCGTTTGAGGGGGCGTGTTAGAGAATGTTATAAGATCCAGCATAACCTTCTCTCAACAACTCGAGTACTTAACTCATACTTGAGGGGGTATGTTAGTGTGTGGTATATGATTCACGATTGAGCCTCTCCCAACAACTCGAGTTATTGGTACCAACTGATTTACGACATGGTATCAGAGCATTCTGTGACCGAGAGGTCTTGTGTTCGATTCCCGGTGACCCTCTTTTGTTAAGCACATGGTATTCAGACCTGTGCAAACTTCAAGCCCTTGTGAGTGGATTTCGTTTAAGGGGGCATGTTAGTGTGTGGTATATGATCCACAATTGAACATCTCCCAACAACTCGAGTACTTAACTCATACTTAGAGCGAAACAGATAGTTGGATATTGAGTATTGAAGTACCCACCTAGGCCTGTCAATTCGGTTTCGGGTTTTCGAGTTAACCCGAACCGATTTGTACAGTGTTGGTTTCGGTTTTTTCGGGTTCAACCCGATATGAAGTGCATCGGTTTCGGTTTACTAAAACCCGAAAAACCGAAAACAACCCGCAAAACCCGTAACTGCATCACGCTGTCGTTTTGAATTTTGAGAGCAAGAGCAACCCTAGTCTTCACTCTTCAGCTCTTCACCTCGTGCAGTCGGCAGTCGCCGTCTCTTCGTCTTTGCCTCGTAACAGAGCCTCATCGCCGCCATCATCGTCCTCGCCCATCGACGACGAAGAGACAGAAGCAGACGACAGGCCAAACGCCTCCTCACTCGCTGCCTCAATCTCGACATCTCTGCTCTCCGCTCTAATCTCCCCAACTTGTACGTTTTCATTCCCCTGTTTTACTCCTCCTCGTTTCTTGTTTACATGGGTTCCTGGCAACTGAGTTCTAATCGAGGCAGTGATTCCTTTCTGTGCGATGAACCCAAATGTTGAAAATGTTCGTTTGAATCGCTGATGGCTTTGTGGTGTTGCAGGTTCGGGAGCTGGAAAGCGATCCCCTGTTCAATTCTGACCTCACATATGGAATCCCAGTAAGCTCCTTTTTATTCACATATGGAATCCCCTGTTCAATTCTGACCTCACATATGGATTCCTCTTTGTTGGTTGTTGATTTTGAGGGGTTGCTTGCTGGGTTGCGATACTAAGTTGTGTGAGTGATTGCTTGTTGGGTTGCTTGCTGGGTTCCTAATTGTATTAACTTGTTTGTATATGTTAATGAATCGTCCTGTTAATGTTCAAACTTGATAAAATCATAACAAGCGAGTCTTGTCTCAACATTGAATGATCAGTGAGTCTTCCCCTGGTTGTTTCTGTGCCTTTGCTTGCTGGTTTGGTTCTCAGTCCACAGAGAAGGCTCCTCTGTTGCAGACTAGCAGAAGGAATGCACAAGTTTAAGCTGCTGGCATCATTTGGCAAACACAGTAATGCAGGACTCATGAATGGACCTTGGCCAATGATCCATATGGAAATATTATTAGAACTCGAATTAGTTCTAGATCCCAAATTATGTTAATGCACTATGCCTAGGTTAAACCAAGTTTTTCGACATGATCATTGAACAAGTAAAATATCACACTTCTTTGGTCCAACTGTCGTTTCCATATTCAGTGGTCAGATATTCTAGAGGATATAATCCTGGTAGCTGTCTGTTTCATCGTACCCTCCACACCTAGACCCATGTACCCTCCCCCAATAGTTATGTCAAAATGGTGGCAGTCGACCCATCGTATCCTGCTATTTGTCTGTTCTGCCCATTTTCAAACCTTTGAATTATGGTGAAATCCTAATTTCAAACTAATTATATGCTAATGATGGATGCAAATTATACTTGATCAAATTTCCTCAGTATAGTTAATGAATTATACTCAACTCAACTTTTCATTTTGACAGGGGAAGTGAGGCACCATCGGTTTCTCGTCCTAGACGTGGAGGACGCTCTAAGAGTACCAGCATTCCTGCTCCTGCACCGTCTTCTGCACCGTCTTCCGATCCTGCTCCTGCACCGTCTATCGGTACCACCAATGTACCTCCTACTCAAACAATAGACGAGGAGACAATTTCAAGAAAAAGGAAAGAGAAGCCTGACGTTTGGCCACACTTCAAGCGTTTTAAGAAGGATGGAGTGGACAAAGCAAGATGCATTTTATTGCAATGGTGTTCTTATGGCTCCCACTAGATATGGGACTTCTACTCTGCGGAATCATAAAGATAGTTGTTTGGAAAAGATACAAAAGGGTGAGCTGATAGTCGACCATCTATCATCTTCTGGAGGCCAGGTACACACTCTTGGGAATTGGAAATTCGATCAGATTGATGCTAGGAGAGCTTTAGCGGAGATGATTATCATAGATGAATTACCATTTAGGTATGTTGAACATGAAGGGTTCAAACGGTTTATGGCTCGTGTTTGTCCAATGTTTGTGTTACCTAGCCGTCAGACCGTTAGAGAGGATTGTATCAAGGTGTTCTTTGAAAATAGAGAGTTGCTGAAGGACTATTTCAAGACTAAGTGTTTAGGGATGGTATCGCTCACCACTGATACTTGGACTTCTTTGTCCAATCTCAATTATATGTGCATTACTGCTTATTTCATTGGTAGAGATTGGAAATTGCATAAAAGAATTATTAACTTTGTCCAAGTTAGAAAACATTCTGGAAGTGAAATTGGAAAACAGTTGGCTAGTTGTTTGGTGGAGTGGGGCATTAGGAAGGTGTTTTGTATAACAATGGACAATGCTAGTGGCAATGATGTGGTTGCTATCCATATGAAAGAACAGTTGAAAGAGTGGGGATCAGATATTTTGGAAGGAAAATATCTGCAGATGAGGTGTGTGGCTCACATTATTAATTTGGCTGTGAAGGACGGGCTTAAAGAAACTGGTAAATCTGTGGAGCGAGTGAGAGAGTCTGTGAAGTTGGTTAAATCTACACCAGCTAGGAGCAGAAAATTTAAAGATTGCATTGAGTTTGAAAAGATAGTGTCGAAGAAATTTGTTTCGTTGGATGTAGCTACAAGGTGGAACTCAACGTATCTGGTGTTGGAATCTGCAAAGCCATTTGAGAAAGCATTTCAGACATTAGCTAGAAATGATAAGAAATTCAAGAAACATCTCAATGAAAAAAAATATGGAAATGAAAGTCTTGGTATCACAACTTCTGATGATTGGTCTAGTGTGGGACGGTTGATTGATTACCTGAAACTATTCTATGATTTGACTGTTCGAGTTTCTGGGACTTCATATGTGACTTTACACCTCTTGTTTGATGAGGTATGTGAAATGTATACTATGATATCTGAGTGGGCTGATGGTATAGATTTTGAGGTGTCTTGCATGGCTGATAGAATCAAGTCCAAACTTGCCAAGTATTGGTTAGAAGATGAGTTGGAGAATTCCAAGATGAATCGGTTGTGTTATATGGCAGTCATATTAGATCCTAGGCGGAAAGTTGAATATCTTGAACAAGCTTTAAAAAAGGTATATGGTGAGAGCAGGGGTAAAGCTTTGGTCGAAGAGGTGAAAGATGAAATGCGTCTTCTGTTTGACCATTACAAGCATAAACTCGGAATTCATGGAAGTTCTCCCATTGTGATTCAAGAAGATGAGCAAGAACCTAGTGGAAGTGGGGATAGGAAGAAGAAAGGGAAGATTTGGGGTGATTTCAGGAAAATGAAAAGAGATGCCATTCTGAAAGGAACCAGAAAAAGTTCCAAATCTGAGTTTGATAGGTACCTTGAGGAGGAGGAGGAGGAGGAGGAGGAGGAGGAGGATGATGAAGTGGTTACACGAGCATTGGTGGGTTCAGAAGAGGATGAATACAAGTTTGACATCTTGGGATGGTGGTCGCGAAGTGGGATGAAATATCCTACTATTTCTGAGATGGCTAGGGATATTCTTGTTGTTCCTATTTCCACTGTTGCTTCTGAGTCGGCATTCAGCACAGGAGGTTGAGTTTTAGATTCGTTTAGGACCTCCTTATCCCCTGAAGTTGTGGAGGCTTTGATTTGTTGTGAAGATTGGATAAGATCTTCAGACTCCGAGTTGGTGACTGATGGAGAAGATGAGGGTGATGAAGTGGTATTTCAAAATGGTAAGGATTTAATCTTTCTCTTTATTCTTATATTTGTTATCTTGATCAAGTCATATTCTAACAAGTTGTTATTGTTTATTTTATCCAGTATATGCAGCTTTTCAAGCTCGGAGTGCAACTGCACCTGCAGGACCTAGTGGAAGCTCTCGTGCAGGACCTAGTGGAAGCTCTCCTGCTTCCCATGTTTTGGTCTCGAGTCCTACTATGTAACAAGTGGAAGAAGACTATGTCGACAACAATTTCGATGAGAATGATGAGACTTATGTAGATGTAGAGCCTGATGAGGAGTGATAATGGTAGTAGTATTTATCTTGTATGGTGGATGAATTTTTATTTTACTTGGATGTTATCATTTGAGAATTGTAAAACTAATGTGTTTAATTACGAGTTGAAGATAATCTCATCTATGATTGTCGGTATTTTATGTTGAACAAAATTATTTATAATTTTGTCCCAAACACCAAACATTTTTTGCATATGATAGTACCTTCAATTTTGTACCTATGGTATTACTAAAACATTTAATTATATGAAAATCCACAATTAAATGGCCCAAAAGGTTGTATTACATAACATAGCAATACATAAAATTACAATAGTATGTCTATAGTTATAGAATACATAAAATTAAATATTTTAATAATTAACTAATAAGAATAAAATTGTTTGTACAAACAAAAGAATGTACAAATAATAAGAATAATATTTTAATAATTAACTAATAAGAATAAAATAGTATGTTTTATGTTTAAGAATGTACAAATAATAAGATAAAATTGTTTGTACAAACAAAAGAATATAAAATTCAAATTACAAAAGTATTAAAAAAATTCAAATCGGTTCGGTTTCGGGTTCACCTGAACCGAACCAAAACCACCAGTGCATTTTCGGGTTCCTGTACCCGCAACCCGCAAAACACAGGTCCGGTTTCGGGTTTGTGGGACGTACGGGCGGGGCTAGTGGAATTCGATCGAATTGCCTAAGCAATGGATAGGGTTGATCATCGTTAGGTGATTTATGCTAGCTAGTTTTGGAGAAGAACGTTTACCTTCATTGCATGAATAGACAAATGTTTCAAAAACATGCATGCATATGTATGGTAAGGAATAGATGTAAGGTCGTCGTGAACCTGCACCAAGTCTTTTACTTCACTAAATTAATTTGATCATCGGTCGACCTGTACGTACCCAAGAAAACGATCGAGGTCAATTTCCCCTCGCCGTCAAGATCCAAACTTCTCCGATAAGATATGTCTCTCTTTGCTTGTTAATGGTTAAACTCTAAACTGCAACTATTCGTCTGAACAAAAATCCGATTGTGCTTCGAGAGTTTGATAGTCAGTTGGGCTTAATAACTTTGTTGTTGGAAGAAGGTGAAGTTCGAACCTTGTTTACTCCTTAATTATACTTTTTGTTAAACGAAAACTAACACATGTGTTTGAAGTCTACATCAGAGTTGTAGAACCAGCTGTTACGTCGGTGAAGCAACTGATGTGGTCCGGCCAGAGTACAACAGTTCATGTGAATTTGAACATATGGAGAAAGCGGAAAACAATTAGCATCAAACGAATTGCATATATAACTTATGTCAAGATAATCTCTCAACAATCTACATCTTATTCGAACTAATATTATTATTTTTTTTCCCTCCCTTCTATTAAACAGCCTCAAAACGGAGAAGTTTTCTCTAGAAGTCGGGAGCCAGTCAAACCGGCCGCTTTTGATCGCCGCTTCATATTGAGGGTATTCCGCCTCATTTGATTCTCACTGGTCACTATTAGTTAAACCAGTCGACACGAAATTGGTTTGACAATAACGATTTACGCACACACCATATATTGTACTTAAAATAAATATTAATATAAAAAAATCAAGAAATTTCGTAAGATCTCTCGGTTAATGACTCTAATACAATGTCCAGAATTGATTGATTCTATTCTATTAAAATAAATTGTTAGAAAAAAGGAGCTAAATCTAACGATACTCTTTTTATATATGAGTCACCATTTAACCCTTGAAATTCCTAGAATTCTACTTGCTAAAATCCAAACACAGGAAGTACGTAGTTATGATTCTTTAATCAGTTTGCCGACAAGAAAACAATATAAAGGCGGCCATTATTTGGGAAGGGAATATATTATGTAAATACTAACTTAGGTGCTAAGGTTTTTCATGCACACGGGACACACGCGACACTGCAATTACACGATAAGGGAAAAGTCTGCCTTCCTCTTAGCTTCTAGGATACAAAAGACAGGCTGAGAGAGAGAGAGTTGGGTTTTGAGATTCCAATCTTAATCATTCATTTCAAAAAGAAACCTTTCCTTTCATTTCCTTTCATTCACCCTCACAAGGCCACAAAGTCGATATACAAAAAGAAAAAGAAGTACAAAGTAAAGAAGAAGAAAAAAAGATGCCCATATATACTTTGGAAGTGATTTGAGTGTGTCATAACAACTATGGGTGGGTGTGGATCTTCCATCTTCTCTGCTCTACAAAGTAATAAACTTTGTATTAGGCATGTGGTACTATTGAATTTTCCACTATATATATATATATGTTTACACCTAAAATTAATTTGGATTAATTAAATGTCGTATTAATGAGTCTCGGCATTAAATTCGATGTTGCATGATAAAAAACGGTGTCGTTCGGAATCGAGCAATGTCGCGGAGAGTGTAAACGACACCGCAAGGAAGCTCAACAACACTGCGGTATTTAAAACGACATTGTTTAGGGAAAAACAATGTCGGATTCACTCGGCCTGTTGGTGTTGTTATTGGAAAAGGAATGTTTTTGTTTTTTCCTTGTCGGAGGAGGGATAAAACGGTGCCACGAATCTCAAAGCTCAACGGCATCGCGAGAGTAGGAAACAGTGTCGTTTGGCTAAAAACGGCACCGCAAGTAAACCCAACGACACCGCGGATTAGAAAACGATACCGCGAGAAGCCTTGGTAAGCAATGTCGGTTAATTAAAAACCATATCGGGTAAGTGCTTGGGCCAAAATCCGCCAAGTCCAACGCGAGTGCAAGGTCTCCTTGGTTAAATAAATTGATATTTTTCATTATTATTTTGGATGGTGTCGTTTAGTTAAAAACGATACCGCGAGTAAGCCCAACAATGCCGCAGTAGTTAAAACGACATTGTTTAATATAAAACAATGTCGCGAAGTAAAAAGCCAAACAGAGCTGTTTGGAGGAGAAAACGACGTCGCGTGAGATTCACACCAACTAGAGCGAGGAGGAGATCAAGACGGTTGAGACACGTGGGAGTTCACAACGGAGCAGTTGAGGAAGCGGTTCCACCGAGCGTGAAGACTACGCAAGTGATTTCAGATAAAATCACCGGAGCAAGGAGAGAGAGGGGACAACAAGATCAACACAGAAACACATCTGTCAACTTTACCTTTTTTCTCTGTAACTCCTTCCCGGAGCTCTCCTTCCAGGAAGGATCTCCATAGTTGTAGTGTTAGTCGTAGTCGCAGAGCTCTCCACAGGAATCTCCATAGGAGTAGCGGTAGTGTAGATTCCTCAAAAAACTCAAACACCCTCGTTCGAACGTAGTTTGGAGAGGTGCGAACCGTAGTAACGGTCGTTCTTGGTTAGAAGTCAGAGGTGCATCGATCAAATCAACACCGCCCGACGGTGGATATTTGACGGTCACGTTGATTTCACCATTTAGAGGTGCATCGATCAAATCAACGGCGCCGACATTCGGCGGCGGATATTTGACGGTCGTCTCGATTTCAGCAATCAGCGGTGCATTCGATCAAACGGCACCGCAAGAGTTTCCACCGCGAAACATCAAATCAACATCGCCGGAAACGAATTCGGCACCGACGGTGGCATATGGTTTTTTCCGAGGAAACAATATACCAAAAAATTAAAGGGTTATAGATATAATTCGTCCCTTTATTTTGTACTTTTATTGAACATGGTCATTTACTATTTTTTTTTACATCAAACATGCATATCTAGTTTGAAGAAAAATTATCGAACATACCTTCCTGTTAAATTTTTCATCCAAAAATCGTCAACTACAGCCAAATCGTAGTTTGAATAACCTTACCTCAGAAAAATTGAAGGAAAAATGTTAGTTGTTGACCCTTTGTTTATTTCTGTCTCATTAAAGTGAATAATTAGAGGTGATGGGATACACAAAAGAAACAAAAAAAAATAGTGAAATTATTAGAGATATTTTAGACATTTGCGTCGTCTAAACCAAGGTTTCGATCGTGGTTGACAGGCTTTGGATTGAAATTTTAACATAAGAGCAATGTTGGTAATTTTAACATATGTTTGATAAAAATACGTAGAAGATGAGATGAGCATATGGTACCTATAACCCACAAATTAAATGAAACAAATAATTACAATTTTATGTTAATATCAAATTATTTCATGTACCAAATACAAAGTATCTGCGATTTACTTGTTTTCATAAATTTGTTGGATATTACCAGGTCAGGTTCAAATCATAATAATTTTCCATATATCAACCAAAATTTTACTTTTACAAAAAAAAACTTTTATAATTATGCATGAAATGACCTCTTACACTAAAATATTTCAAGTAATTTAATGATGAGTTTCGCAGATCAAACAATTCACACAAACGAGTTGCTTCAAAATGTACAAGTCAATATGCACTTAGAGCTTAGCTATCAAACGTTTAGTACATAGGGTTTTCTCTTGTTGTAGGGTTTGTGCACGGCCCTAGTTACCTTAAGGATACCATTGTTAGGGCTGAGCTTCTTCATGGATCCTAATTCCATGGGATTTGTTTGGTGGAAATACCCCTCTTATTGATTCAGTAAAAAAAATATAAGGGGGAAATCAAACGAACACTTTTCTCTAAGTGGTCGTTTGGTTTTTGTGATTGTTTGATTGAGATTGTTACAATGGTCGTATTGTTTGCAATTCATAGTTTTTCTGATTTTCTATACACATACAATACATGTATTGTTTACTTCATGTGACAGAAACAATCATTCATAATGAATGATTGTACAATCTCAGCTTTTAGCTGAGATTGTTGGGATTGTACTTGTTGAGATTGTTTTTTTTTTTCCTTCAAACTTTGACCTTTAGAAGTTACTTTTTGCATTGACAATGAGGGATACAAATGACATTTTTGTTAAAAAGTTACTTTCCCTTTTAACTATTGAAAACACAATCATAAATACCAAACGTTGTAATCTAAAATACACCAAATTCAACAATACATGTATAATATAAAACTTGTATTGTTCACAATACATCAATTTAACAATCGGAGAAACCAAACCACCCCTAAATTTATTTATTTATTATATATGGATGACCATCACAATTATTGAAGCTTTTTCCCCATCTCTTATCATAATTAATATTCTCCTGTAAAGATTCGTCCACATTTTGTACGTCATTTCCCATACGTCTGTATGGGGACCATGGCGATTAAAAGGACAGGCTTTGGGGGTTTTTTTTTTTTAAAGCAAGAATTATGACCTATTTGTGGTGTAGAGGCAAAGTAGTTTGGTATTTTTGTTGGTGCAACTTGGAGAAATAGATCATAATTTTGATTCACAATAATTTGTCTGTCCACTTGGCAATTGCAGAGCTCGAGTTGGAGACATGATCAATAGTTTGATAGAGACAAATCAAAGGCTCAAAGGAAACCCCACCTGATCAAGTTATCAACCCCACATAGTAAGTCAACTCCATGGCTAGGGTTGGGGTAAGGTTGAGTGTTTTTTCCCCAGATTGATTTATCCAGAAAAATGAGATACACTAGAGTCATATTATCCAATTTGGAAAGTCAATCTAGCCTACAGTTTAGTATTTCACAGGCAGCAATAATAAAAATTTGTTTAGTATCTCACAGCCACGATTATTCGAGATAGTTAACAATTTCACAATTTCAATGTTTTCATTCGTATTACAAGTCCGCATCACTGAGCTCGCCACTAGAGTCACATGGTTGACCACCAAATGGGTTGACCTATTATCTGCACGACCAACAAATCACAAATAAAAGCGGTAAAAACAATATCGCAACAACTGAATTTCTTCAAGTATGAACCTCACCACACGCGCCGAGATGCACACCCTCCACAACCTTCTCAAACACCATCTTGGCATCACCTGCAAAAATCACTTGTCGGACGCCATAAAGCAAACACCAACAGTTCCCATCACAAAGAGTTAGTAGCTCAACGAGGAACGAGTCATCCAAAGCATCATACAAGGTTTTCGAAGTAGCCACACCACACATGTACACTCCTGCAAAACCCATCCACCGCCCCATGGGAGCCACGTCGGGTCACACCATCTGAGAACACCCAAATGCTTGGGTCTAGGACACCCTCCATCCTCCTCCCAACCCTTCATTTTTCACCATAAGGGGAATTTTTTTATCGCTGAACTCGTGCTCCCAAATATGGGTTTACAACCTCCAACACTACCAAATGAGAGGAGAACTATGTCAGAAACACTAAGGTAGAAAAAAATGGTGGACAAGAACAGAGGAAACTTGTCTAGAACACAAATATAAGAACGAAGTCTTTTAGATGGACTTTGCTGCTCGTTTGAAGATAAGGAGCAAATGGATTGTGGTTTATTAGATCCCAATTCTGCCCTCAACCTAATAATCAATTCAGGCCCAAAGCTACATAACGATGTTCATTGTCCAAAGTCCAACCATTCACTCCGACCCAATTTAGAGCCCAATTACCTGAAAAAGAACAAAAAACTTTCTGCCGTTCCAATCGATCAAAGCAAATCCATTCTCGCGAGGGAAAAAAAAGAAAGAAAATACAAACTTCGTAGTATCATCAGGCAAGCGAAGAACTCGTGAAGTGGGCATCCGCCACGTGTCCCCATGAAACCTCCACGCGTCCCTCTGCAACGACACCTACTCTCACTCCTCCTTCGGTCCTCCCCCCACTATTTCAGCATCCCTAATCTCCTATTAGACTGTACCGAAAACCTCCACATCAAAACCAGGAAAAAGAAAGTTTTCAATCTGCTTCCCAAACCCAACAATGGCGAAACTTTTGATACTCATTCTATCATCGCTTTTACTGCTATGCTGCTCTGCCACGTCGACGCTCCCGGTGGTGAGGAGAGCGGAGAGGAAGCAGCTGATGGTGACAGAGTACGGCGAGATCTCTTCCGTCGACGTCCGCACCGCCGCCGCCCCAACCAAAGGGCCGTACCACGTGGAGTTCATCACACTGGACCCAAACTCGCTGTTCCTCCCCGTCTTGCTCCACGCCGACATGGTCTTCTACGTCCACAGTGGCAGCGGGAAGCTGAGTTGGACGGGAGACGGTGAGGACGAAGTGAAGAGGGTCGATTTGAAGAGGGGAGATGTCTACAGGCTGGAGCCCGGCTCTGTTTTCTTCTTGCAGAGTGATTTGGAGAATGAGCGGCAGAAGCTCCGGATTCATGCCATCTTCTCCACTACGGATGAAGACATTTGGGTATTAGGTTTAATTCATCAATTTCCTTCGTCTGAATTGATCGGTTTTGTTGAACACTAACACAATCGAAGTGATATTGTTGTTTGGATTGCGCAGGAGCCATGGATTGGAGCTTACTCCAGCATTTCCGATCTCGTCCTGGGATTCAACGCCAAGCTTCTCCAATCCTCCTTTGGGGTATGTCTCTCTGTTTGTTTGTTTGTTTTTTTTTTTTTTTTTTTTCTCTGGTATCCCTGAAATCTGAATTTCAGGGAGAACTTCGCTTGAGATTGATTGGATGTTTTGTTGAAATGGTGAAGGTTACTGAGGGCGTGATCGAGGAGATAACCACCACGCCGAAGCCGCCGGGGATTGTTCACGCACCGGCTTCAGAGTCTTCAGAAGAGAAGGAGGAGAAGAAAAAGAAATCAGTATTCTACGAATTGGAGAACCGATTCCTGAAGGTCATGGCGGGAGAAGAAGCAGGATTGATCAATCTCAAAAAGAGCAAGAAATCCAAGACCTTCAACATTCTGGAAGCTGACCCTGATTTCCATAACTGCAATGGGTGGAGCCTGACTGTTGATAAGGGCAATTACAAGAACCTTAAAGGTTCCAACATGGGTGTTTTCATGGTTAACCTGACCAAGGTAAAGTTATACAAGTGAAGATGGCCAAATGGTTAATCCATTTATTATCTAAATCCCAACAATCATGCAGAGATGTTGATATGTGTACCTTCTTCAGGGGGCAATGATGGGGCCACACTGGAATCCGATGGCGACCGAGATCGCGGTAGTCCTTGAAGGGGAAGGAATGGTGAGAATCATTTGTGCTTCGAATTCGACGGGGTGCAAGAACGAAAGGTTCATAGTTCGTGAAGGAGACGTGTTTGTGGTGCCACGGTTTCACCCCATGGCGCAAATGTCGTTCAACAATGGGTCCTTTGTGTTCATGGGGTTCAGCACCACGTCGAAGAAGAACCATCCGCAGTTTCTTGTGGGGAAGAGCTCGGTTTTCCAGACACTGGATAGGGAGGTGCTCGCGTTGGCTTTCAACGCAAGCAACACGACGATCGATCAGCTGCTGCTGGCCTCTCAGGAGGATGCCATCATATTGGAGTGTGTTTCCTGTGCCGAGGAGGAGTTTAGGTTGATGGTGGAGGAGATTGAGAGGGAAAGGGAGAGGGAGGAAGAAGAGAGGAAGCGGGAAGAGGAAGAGGAGAGGAGGAAGAGAGAGGAAGAAGAGGAACGAAAGAGGCAAGAAGAGGAAGAGGAACGCAAGCGACAGGAGGAAGAGGAACGTAAGAGGCGAGAAGAAGAAGAGGAACGAAAGAGGCGAGAGGAAGAAGAACGGAAGCGACGAGAAGAAGAGGAGGAACGAAAGAGGCAAGAAGAAGAGGAGAGGAGGGAGAGAGAGGAAGAAGCGAGGAGGCAAAAGGAGGAAGGGGCAAGGAAGGAGCAAGAACAGGCTAGAAAGGAAGAAGAAGAGAGGAAGAGAAGGAGGGAAGAAGCTGAAGAGGAAGCCCAACAAAAGCGCGAAGAGGAGGAAGAAAGGAGACAGCAAGAAGAGGCAAGGAAGGAGGAAGAAGAGAGAGAAAGGCAGAGAAGAGAGGAAGAAGCAGCAGCCAGAGAGGAGGAGGAAGAGGAAGAAAGGCAGAGAAGAGAAGAAGCAGCAAGGGAGAAGGAGGAAGAGGAGGCTACGAGGGAGCAAGAAGAAGCAAGGAGGCAGGAAGAAGAGAGGCAGAGAAGGAGGGAGAAAGAAGAAGCAGCAGCAGCAGCCAGGGAGAAAGAGGAAGAGGAAGAAAGGGAGAGAAAGGAGGAGGAGGAGGAAGAAGGTGGCGGTGGTGGAGGGAGAAGATCGTTCAGAGAGTTGCCTATGAAGCTATGGATGTGAAATTGTGAAGGCCACCAGCAAGCAACCGCCAAAAGCAAGTTGATCCACTTTCTCAAGGACCTGGCAACCGGCTAGCAGTAGGATTTGGCTCTCTTTTTCTGCAAGCATAATCTTATGGCAGTTTCAAAATAACGGCTTCTACTGTATGTGCATTTCATGTAATAGAGTTTCAGTTTTGTTTCTGTGTCTTGTTTCTATCAGTTCTGTATCAATGTAGTGATCCATCCCTGTTCTAAGCCCTCAAGAAGCAATCACTATCATCATAAGTCATCATCTTCAAACCCTAAACCAGTTCTCGACAAACCCAGACACAAGATAAAAGTAAACAATCAAAACTGCAACTTTCTGCAAGTGCAACTGGAACTGGAAGTGTAACAGTTTAAGGATTCTACTAACCGCGGCTGTATCTCAAATCTGGGAATATTTCATCTTGATGGCAAAAAAAAAAAAAATCTACTGGAGGCGGGTTTGGTGGCCAAAAGAATTATACAAGAAGCATCATTTGAAATGCCCCCACAACTACGACATTCATATGCCGGCTGAGGAATTCGCTTTTGTTGTTATGTAGGAGACGACTACGGTGATATCATCAAGCTTGCCACCGTAATAGCGGAATCCAGCGTCCTGAGCTGCAACAGAGAATGGTGTCTGCCTGCTTCGGTCCAAGGCACGTTCTCTTGCTAAAGCTGTGATCTTTTGTGCAGCTTCTTGAGGCCCCAGACCGACTCGCATGGAATGCACGATGATGGCACTGATCTCGTTGGTGTACAAGTTGTCGAACAGCCCATCTGTTCCAGTGATGACAACGTCTCCCGGGGCAACTGGAACTGTAATAACCTGAGATCAAAGGTAGGAAATCGAGGTTAGTGCTTCAAAACTCAACAGCCATTTCTTAAGGACAGCAGCGTCTATTGACAGAGGGAGAAAACGAAATTGTTTCCTAACACATATGACCACATGCACATTAGAGTACCCCTTAATGAGTAACGATCTGGGTAACTTACAAACTTCAAACTTAGGCAGCCGCATACCCTTAATGAGTAATGATCTGGGTAACTTACTAGCTTCAAACTTAGGTAGCTGCAGATCTAGCTATACTGATGGTCAGAAGCGACTGGGGCAAAGAACGAGCACACTGAGTTGTTCTGTGTGGATGCATCAATGCGCCCCTTAATGAATGGTGATAGGGGTAACTTGCCAGTCTCGTTTATTAACTAGTTATGAAGATTTAATTACGTATTCTGAACTTCTTAGTACTGCAATTGGTAGATAAAGGTGAAACTTTTGCTGACCTGGCCAGAGCTGGGAAGATCACCACCTGTACCACTCTCCAGTTGACAAGGAAAATTGAAGCCATGTTGTTGAACTGGGGATCGGAAGACTGTCGACCCATCTCTGATCACAATGAATCCGCTGTCCCCGAGATTGATAGCATGTAATTCCTGTTATGTACGAAAAGGGTAAGTAGTAGAGGATGAAACTCAGAGTAACTGTGTCTGATCTTAATAATTTAAAGCACTATATTACACAACGATCCAAATACTGAATACCGGGGAAAGAAAGAACCAAAACATACCTCGTTCGTAAGGGCTATGATGCAAGCAGTCGAGGAGCCTCTGGATTTAGTGTTTGAATGAGCTTTCTCTAGGACTTTGGCTGGATCAATGGATCCTTTGGAGTTGTCTTGAATAGCCCTCACGGAATTGAGCATGAGTTCCTGAGCGAATAAACCAGCATTAACACCCACATCTGCCCATCCACCCACACCATCAGCCACACCAATCACTTGTTCATCTCCACATATAAAATGAGCATCTTCCCCGCCAGTTGCTTCCTTATCAGGATGTGGCAAGTAACAAGATCCTGAATGCAGCCTTAACTTCCTGCAAATTGGAAGGAAGTATTTTGGAATCAAGATGTTATTTTGATTTTCACATTTCAACTCTCTTTGAGTGCAAAATTCTGTCCTTTGCAGGTCGCTTGGTTTGGTGCATTTGGGAGTGTGATGTTTGATATAGCATGTGACTTTATATCACTTTTCATTGCAATCTCAAACGTATCGAAACTATGTAACTCTAAAGTTGGAGGTAGGGAGTAAAGCACTCTAGAGAAGTGAATCCCTCATGTCATCCTTGTTTGCACCTTCCTGATGCAATTGCATTTGCAAGCTATAGTTTGGCAAATAAACCACACACCATAACATAGAAAATGAATAGCATACGATTGAGATAAATAACAAAATTTACAAGTACACCAAACACACGGAAAAAGAAGCAAACATATATAAGACTGGTTGAGAGCACATACCGGCCGGAAACCATAGTGGAGTTCACTGCTTGTTCATCATTTGAGTTAGCATCAAACGACAAGTCCGCAGCAGGCCCAATCGAGGCAAACATAGAAGAAGATGGAGAGTGCAAGTGCTTCAGCAATGGCCCAACACCAAAGTTGTTCAAATTCTTCCTTCTCATTGCATCCATCAGGAAATTCCCACAAACCAACCTGCTACTAGGGGGAAGCTCTCTACTACCCATCTTCACACTTGCTTTGGAGCAACTAACACGGCTAGAATCGGAGAAGAACACTCCACTAGGCTTACACAGCTCCAATCCATTCCCACAATTGGCATCGGCATAGACATCGCCAAAAACAGTCTTGGAACCAGAAGCAGCCATTGCAATTCCACTACTCCTACGACGCTGGCTCGATGGGGAAACTTGAAAAGTAAAACTAGGAGGAGGAAAGCAGGCTGAAGTGCTAAAAGTAGGTCGGAAACAAGCGGAATACCTAGAATTAACCGCTTGCCTAACGCCAAAACTCAGTTTGGACAAATTCCCAAATCGCATTTTTTTTAGTGCCTTAACTTATGTTCTGCGAGCTGAACCATTGGCCAGATACCTAAACCATTACCATATCCACTCCCAAGCGGCTTCATAGTTCATCCTCGACAAGAAAGCTTCCCAAAACTTCAATCACAACACCATTCTAAAATCAACCCTCGAATTCAAACCGGCCCTTTTTTTCCCCCAAAAAGCAACAAGTCTCTATCAATTTGGAACACCTGAAAGCAAAAACAGAGGCGAATTTCTTCATTTCCTCATTTCCTCACCCAATTTCCTCTTCCAACGTTGGAACCCAAATACAGAAGATATAAAGATTCAATCTTTACACAAGAAGAGGCTCAAAAGAACTCACCACTGCAATCACAGACACCGGTAAGGATAGAAAATGGATAGAAATGGTGGATTGAGATTTGAGAACACCACCACCAAAAAACCTTTCAAATTCTCAAACACGCCTTATCTTATCAGCTTAGCTGCAGGCTCCAACGCTGGGTTGCAACACAAGTGTCCCTCTCCAAATCTCTCAAATCAGTTAAGGTAAGCCGATGGATTTGGTGGGTTGGGGAAAGGGCAGCTGGCGAGCTACCAGAATTTAACGAGGAGAGGGGCGGGGGGAAGAAAAAGTGAATGGCCAAAAAAAGGATATCATCGAAATATGCCTTCGGACTTCCCATCTAATCTTAGGCCCCCCAATGCCGACGACGCTAAATACAATAATAGCCCTGGTTGCTGTAGGTCGTCCAAACTGCGAGGGGAGGGCAATTCCGGAACTTCACTAAGTCCTGACCCTCGCTGGGTCAAAGCTAGGTGAGCAGCAAGTAGGCTCCCATGAATCCCGCCAAAGACATGACGTGTTGCCATTCCATTGGTTGGCCTGGCCTCAATTTGCGAATTGAAAATTCTGTGGGAGGCAGGATTTCGGGTTTTGGCGGGCTTTGCCCTCCCAGTTTCGCCATAAGCCACAAAAATCATGATTTTGACACTTGATAATGTGGGCCCCCGGCTTAAAAGAGAGTTGGGAGTTGGGAATTGGGATTACTCAAGGGCCAGAAGCTAGATGTTGGGCTCTATCCTATGGGCCAGCTCGAACCACTTCTAGCGGGCTTGCAGGTTGAGATATGAGCCCGGAACAGCGGCTTAGTCACATGCTCTTTGAGTTGGATGAGTAGCGTTTGGGTTGTGAATCAACCCGAAAATGTGGTTTTCCAATTAGTCATTGAGCAAGTTGAATGACGTTAATAATAAGTTTCTCGCAAATTGATAAAAATGAAGCAATTTAGTCCCATCCTGCTTTATGTCATGTGAATTTGTATAATATATGTATAAAATCTTTCATTACTTCATCAACCATTTGTGTAGAGATATAAGAGTGTTTACACCTAAAATCAATTAATCAATCGACATCGCAAAATGTCCACTGTGAAAACAAAGAGGTATTTGTTCCAAACTCACAAAAAAAATGAGATCACATTTAAGCAAACGAGTGAGATCCAAACTACAATGCAACCATGGCACACGAAAGAGCACGAGGTTGAGCAATTAATGTAGAACCGTGTGATACTCTCTTGTACACTTATCATAGTTGGAGGTTTACCTTGCCTAACCCTACTACTCGAGTGGAGTATTTAAGGGTAGGTTTGTAGCTTCGGTTAAGTGTAGTCGCTGGCAGTAGACGAACTGCAGCTAATAATAGAACCTGAGAACTCACGTTCTCCGTGGAGTAGTTTCGTTCATACTGAACGGGGAAACCACGTAAAATCCGTGTCTCGTATTATTTCTTTTCCGCGTATCAAATTTTACATGGTATCAGAGTTGTGATCGCTTCATAGCTTGACGGTTCAGGATGACAGGAGAAGATGACAAGCTTGGCAAGGGCGGAGCTTCCTCGCTCACCAACGTGATACCCCTCACATCGCCCCTCTACATGCATCCATCTAAAAATCCCGGTCAGCTGTTTGGCAGCGACTTGTTGACGGATCTGAATTATAGTGAATGGGTAAGCAATATGACGGAAACCCTAATCGCGAAAAATAAGATGGTGTTCGTGGATGGATCACTCCCTCGCTCTAAGGCACGCCCTGGAGTCTTCGACGATGCATGGAGTCGATGTGACCCTACCGTCAAAGGATGGCTCAAGACTGCCATGAGCAAGGAAGTGCGCAATAGCGTCCGGGGCGCAAAGACTGCTCGCGAGATCTAGGTAGATTTGCTACAGCGATTTGGGACTAGCTGTGCGACGCGAGTATATGAACTCCGCAGCATGATTAGCTCTTTCTGCCAAGAAAAGCTTATTGTGCCAGCCTTCTACACGACTTTGTGCACGTATTGGAACGAACCTCAAGCGGTTAGCTTGAACCCGTGGTGCTCGTGCGGGTTATGTACGTGTGACGTCGCCAAGCAGTCTAGAGAAAAGCAAGATGCGGTGTTACACCCCATCTTTTTCTAAGACAAAATGACCATTATGTCCTTGGTTCAAATTTGTCAAATTCCACCGTAATGTCGAGGAGGACTAAAAATGTAAACTATTCATTCAAGCGGTGTCGAATTTTGATATAAAATGAGAAAGCTACAGACGTTAATTGAGTTTTGGATTAAACTCGACCGTGAAATTCCCAAAATGGACTACAACTATTTAAACCGTAAAGTGGGTCTCCCCACACGTTCACCCCATCCATATATATATAAATCAACAAACCTAAATCGTATGGAGGTGCGAGAGCAGCTGGCTCCCTCTCTTTTCTCCAGTAGCACCACCACCACCGCGCAAGGCAAAGCAAGCGGCAGCCTCTCAGCTGCCCTCGACCAAAGGGATTTCCACCGGTCTCATCTTGCTTGATGCAGCCCTCTACTACGTCAGCTGCCTGCTTAAGCACGCAGGAGGCGATTTAAGCAGCGGCCGATGACGATTGAAACGTGAAAGGCGGCCATTATTGGTGCGGGCGAGGACGGTTCACGCGGGCATTATTGATGACTCTCTACTACGGCAGCTGCCTGCTTAAACAAGCAGGAGGCGATTTCACCAACGGGCGCATCCCGCAACTCATTTGTCAACTAAGATCATTGCACCTACTTCTCTCATGAAGTCACCCCGACCGAGACTTAGATGGCAACCTAACCTAGTACGTCATAATTGAGAAAGGGAACACACACCCCCAACCCCCCCCCCCCCACACCCCACAGAGCCGGGTGGTATTATAGCCATGCCAACCCTGTTTTGGACAAGCTGAAGGAGTGTGCCACGAGGTTGGATAATGCTCCTTTACCGAGCGGAGGACTCGCTTTCTTTTTGGTAGACTGATCTAAATAACTAATCAAGCTAATTGGTCTCTAGTAGCCATTTTTTTATCCCCGCGATTCACGCGGCCATCATTGGTGCCCCTCTACTTTGGCAGCTACCTGCTTAAGGCAAAGCAGGAGGCGATTTCAGCAGCGAGCAAAGGCGGCCATTATTGGTATGGACGAGGTCTCTTCATGCGGCCATTTTTTATGCCTCTCTACTTTGTCAGCTGCCTGCTTAAGCAAGCAGGAGAAGCAAGCAGGAGGGGTGACTCCTATGCGAATCTAGGGACACCTATCGTGGCACCTATGTGTTTCGACCAAAGCAGGAGAAGTGGGAGCGAATGGCAACGGCGACCTACTGCTTTTGGGTGAAGGTCATTCTTGTCATTCTCTCATCCACTATGAGAGCTCCCTTCTTAAGCAAGCAGAAAAGGGGAGGGGACAAGGAGTCAATTGGGTAAGGGGAAAGTATCAATTTGGACACGAGAAGTTTGCCAGCTCAGGGCCAAATCCAAAGCGTGTCCCCTCTCCCTAAATTCCACTAAGAAATCACAATTGCGGAAAACACACCCGAAAAGTAGCGGCCGCCATCTCTGGGGAGATGCAGTACAAGGAAGCGGAAACTGAAGGCGAATGGTTTTGGGTAAGTTACCTACACTACCCGCATGTAGTTAGTTCGTAGAGGAATAACAAGTGAAATGGTTAAGCAAATATGTACATATGTGGGCGGTGCTTTAACATGGCTAGGCAAAATTGTTGTGGTTGAGTTTTGATGACTGAGGCGAATGGAATTGATGGGGGAGCAAGTCGATTAAATGCTAAGTTGTTCCATGACATCTTTTGGAGTACCTAGTTCATGAAGCCGATTAGCTATATAGTTAGGTGAGTGCAGTGTAAAGGGGGTAAATTCTACGCCTTACGTATTCTTTCAAGTATTAGAGTTTTCAGTATTTTTGTGAAGTGTTGCTATGGTTGTCTATGCTCATGATTGATGATATGTTCTGTTTGAGCTGTGGTTTATAGTGAATGTGTGTTGTTTGCTTTAAAGCGTTATGTTTATGAGTGATTGTTGAAGTTAAGAAGAAGTCCTTTGTTTTAAGAAGTATTTCACCTTCAAGAAGGTAAAATAGTTTTATGTGTTTTTAGTCACTAGTGCCAGTCCGTTGCCATTTGAGATTTTGAGATAGAGCAGCAGTTATGCTCTTGAGACTTTAAGATGAGAAGCAGTTATGCTCTTGAGATATTTTAAGATGAGCAGCAGTTATGCTCTTGAGAATCGTGGAAGAAGAGCTTTCCACGATAAGTTTAAGTTTAAGGAAAGTCGTGATGGCTTCTCATACGTATGAGTTGGCAACCGGACTAGCTATTGAGGGATCCCCGTGTCAGTCAAGAATTTAAGTGGAGATTTGAGCTTTAAGGATACAGTTTTAAGAGTTAAGGTTTTTAATAATGGAATTTAAGTGTAGACTGACCCCATCTCACTCACCAGTTTGAAGAGATAGAGGAGCAGTTAGTGAGCAGCGAGTTCGAGGGCAGCTAGCCAGAGGAGAGCAGTATAAGCGTCACGGAGGATGCTTAGTCAAGGTTTTCAGTAGCAACAACATTACAGATTATTAGTTATTGATATTTATGATTATGAGTATAGACTGGAGATCATGTTGAGATTTTAAGTATTGAGTTTGCCCATGTGTTAGGGCGTTGCTTTAAACTCCAAGTGTGTGTTTTCAGTATTTTATTTATGAAAATTCTTCTCGCTGCAATTTAAGATTTGAGTATTTTATTTATCAAGGGCATTTTAGTAAAAGTAGTACCCGGCCGGGTTAGGGTGTGACTCGCTATGACACAACTCCTAACAATGGTCAAGTGTAACCAATGAAAGGGACTGCAGTATAGTGGCTCAAGTAATAAATATCGAATCCACGGGTCTCTAGAGTTACTATTACTCAGCTTCAGTTCATTATCTAGCAAACCAGATTAAGATGGAACAACTAAAACTACTTTAATAAACTACAGTTAAATTAATCTAATTACAGGTTGGGAACTCACTTAGGTATGATTCCCCCTAGCCACTAGTCAGATTAATGGTTGATGATTTCTAACTTGTTTCACTTTCATTCACAATGCGGAGAATCCTTGACTAGACCTTGAATCTCGACTAAAGGATCAAGGCCCTCTTGAGTCGATTGCCTAGAGGGACGTATCCTTCTCTAGAACAACCGATCAAGGCGTTTTGAACTAGACTCCCTATATCGAATGAGGTTCTCAATCGATACAAAGCATTGAATCAACTCTCAACTAAAGCAATCGATCCAATACTATCAATCTATGGTGCTCTATTGACCTAATCAGGTATTCGCTCTCATAAGATCAAAGCAGAATCAATAATCTCGACTAAAGCAGAATTGAATCATGAAAACATGCATAGATTGAATATGAACTCAAGATTATCAAGTAGGAGTACTCATACAATCCTTCAATTAAACAAACATAGCTAGGGTTCCTCAAAACCTAAGTGAAGGGAAGTTACTCCATAGAGAAGAGAGAGACTGCAGTAAGAATCTTCAGATGATCAGTCTTCAAGTATGGGCTTGTTCCTCGAGCTTCCAAGGCGAAGAAATCCTCCAGTTCCACTCCAAGAATGCCCTCAAATCGCCCTCTCTCTCTTTGGTTCGTCCCTTGGGTGTTTGGGATCCAAAACCCAGCTCTCCATTGCAGAAACGCACACAACAGGATTTTAACAGCCTACGTTCGCGATCCCCGGTCAGAATACACGGTCGGGTATTTTAGGTGGCGACCGGGGATTGTTGAAATGCATCGTCGGGGACAGGAGGTTAATCCCCGGTTAGGGTCAAGAATACCCGACCGGGGATTTATGATTAATGCCCGGGCCCCATTCTGCTTTTCAAACGCCTAAAACAGGTTTTCCCCAGTCTGCTCCGATTAATACCCGGCCGGGTATTTCTGCCCACGGTCAGGTATTTTGCTGCTCTGGCACACTTCAACCCAAACGTGCTCCTTTCGACCCAAAACTCGTTTCTTCGCCTCGATGCCAACACTAAGCCCTGAAATATGACATAAACACACAACCTAGCGTGAAATCGGCTTAAAACACGAGAATCAATATCTCAAACGGCTCAAGAATAGGGGTAAAAACATGTGCAATCAATGGTCTATCAAACTCCCCCACACTTAACCGTTTGCTTGTCCCCAAGCAAACCTAACTCAAACCAATGCAACTCTCCAGACCTCTATAGCAACAAACAACCCCGATCGTCGATAGAGGATTTCCTAGATCATATAGCAGCTTACGAGGTCAACTAGTCTTCTAAGATGTCCCCTATCTCTCTCAATGCGAGTGCTAGACTCAAGCCAGGATCATGAGAAGAAGTAGAAGTAAGACAGTCAGTTCATGGATAAAGGGACTCACACCATTCACAACCAAGGACTCGTTGTACCAGGGTGCTCTTTCACTTCATTTCACCGTTGGAACCCCTTTTTCACTTTCATTTTACTTTTTTTCATTCACTTGGCGGGGGGTCCAACTGCAGTCTTTTGCACGGTCGACCCTTATTAGTCGAGCAAGAACAATTTCTGTACATCTGGCGCTCGCCAGATTACTTCTTTTAACTCCTTTTCCTCAACTCGTGTGGAGGGTCAATGAAATTAAGGGGAGGTCGGAAGCTCTATCCGTGCCCTTAAAAACACATCCTCGAGTAGACAAACCGTTCAACGGGTGGAAATTTTACTTGTACTAGAGACAACTTAGCCTCACCTTGTAGGAGTACCCTACTAAGGATCACTAAAATCTCTTCTAAAACCCGATTTTTGTGCAATGAACGGTGCCACACACGTTGGGCTTACCCCATGTTTAAGATTTCAATGATTTCGACATGGAGGACCAACTGCCTTTCATTTCCCACACGAGCACCCTGTTCGATACACGAGTCCATAACACAATCCAATCAGAGTCACCATTACCACATGAATTCAACGGTCTTAGCTCCACTAATTCACAAAATCAACTGGCACAACAGAGAGCTAGATAGGAAAAATCTTATACTTCAACATCCTCCATAGTGCTACACTACCTCTAGGGATGGCAATGGGTCGGGTTGGGTCGGGTTTTGCCATACCCAAACCCATGGGTTTACCCATGAAAAAAAACCGGGGTAAAACCCACTGGGTTTGAAAAACTCAAACCCAACCCAACCCGCTGGGTATCCGTGGGTTCATGGGTACCCATGGGGTT